GTTCGGTCTCTGTCACATTATGTAATTACACAGACAGGCATGTGTGATACTTGTACACATGACATGTTATGATGTCTGTTGAATGCAAAATGGTATACACAAAAAATGAGCATGTACACTGAGTCAAAAAAGAAACTTCACATTCTTTCTTCAGGGCACTATAAAAGAACAAGAGATGGTAAGATGGTTAAATTGTTATTATTTCATTGCTGAGATCTGTGTGATGTACTCGATACACTGACAGTGCCATAATCAGTTCCATTAGGCTACACCGCCGTTCCAAAACATGGGTATACAGAATGTCAAGTCACAAGAATAAAAATGCGAAATTTCTCAGTTCAATATCGTGTATGGCCGCCCCGCGCATTCACCGCTGCCAAACACCGTCTCCTCATCGACTGCCTGATGCTTGTGAACACGTGGTTGGGGATTCTGCGCCATTGCTCTTGAAAGGCAGCGCCAAGTTCCTGCAATTTCTGAGGTTGGTTCCTAATACCACGAAGCCTTCTCCCAAGTGCATCCAAAACGTGCTGTATTGGATTAAGGTCAGGGGACCTCGATGGCCAGTCCATGACGTTGATTCCAGGGTTTTGAAGGAAATTTCGTGTCAACATCGCGGTATGCGGCCGAGCATTATCATGCTGGAACTGTAGACCTGGGCCATGAGCCGCCATGAAAGGAACGAGTTCAGGGGTGAGCACCTGGTCGCGGTAAGCAGCAGCTGTGAGGTTTCCACGGATGACCAGAAGTCGGGAACGGTTGTTCCCACAGAAAGTACCCCACACCATGCAACTTCCGCCCCCGAATCTGTCGACTTCCTGTACACAACATTGGGCATACCGTTCACGACGTCGTCTCCAGACTCTATGCCTGCCGTCCGCGAATCTGAGGGTAAACCTGGATTCATCGCTTAAGACGACTCGATTCCAGTCTCTCTGGGTCCATCGGAGGTGACGTTGGGCCCACAGCAGACGTTGACGTTGATGAAACGGCGTCAATATTGGCCCACGATATGGACGTCGAGAATGGAGATTTGCAGCCCGCAACCGATTTCGAATGGTCTGTGAGGACAGTCGACCTCTAAACATCTCAGCCCTGGTTCGTGTAGCCGGCAGAAATCTGTCACGTAGGTGACGTAGGACGATTTGACGGTCTTCTGCTCGTGACGTCACACGTGGACGACCCGACCTTGGGCGATCAGAAGTGGTGCAAGTTTGTTGTAGACGACCTCGCAAGTCATACACAGTGCTACGGCTGCATCCCATTGCTCTTGCGACGTCAATAACTGATCTTCCCGCTTGCAACATGCCAACGGCACGTTCACGTTGCACATTTGACAATCGTGGCATTTCAAGTATCGTTAGAACTGTGGTTTGAAAGTGGTTTTTTTCAATTCTTGGGGCCAATGCAAACACGTTCATATGAAGAAAACTTCGTTGCGAAGATAACGTGATCGACTGCAAGTGCAAAACCTGATTTGGCACTAATGTCATTTGCACGACGAATGGATGAGGTTTGAGTGGGTTTTGCTAACGTTTTTCTAGAGTCGAAAGATAGGGATCCCATTTCGGATACATAGATGTATCATCAGAGAAAAATTATTAATTATTTTTCAAATTACATTTTGTGAAGTTTCTTTTTTGACTCAGTATATTTACAAAACCCAACATCTCCATATATACACACACAATGAGCCGTGAGGGCATCTGCAAATGATCCAGCCTTTACACTCGAGTGCACACCCACCTGCTCTGACTGGGTTCGGTATCCCGGCTGCTTCGTTTCTTAGGAAGTAAACCCAGGTACAAAATATTGCACTTTTGATTTGCGATTGTATGCTTATAATTTTGTTTTTATGTTTTTTTCATAACCAGCAATGTATATTATATGTCATGAATAAGTGAGTGAGTGAGTGAGTGAGTGAGTTTAGTTTAACGACGCACTCAGCAATATCCTAGCTATATGGCGGCGGTCTGTAAATAATCGAGTCTGGACCAGATAATCCAGTGATCAACAGCATGAGCATCGTTCTGCGCAATTGGGAACTGATGACATGTGTCAACCAAGTCAGCGAAACTGACCACCCGATCCCGTTAGTCGCCTCTTACGACAAGCATAGTCGCTTTTTATGGCAAGCACCTGGGTTGCTGAAGACCTATTTTACCCCGGATCTTCACGGGTCCATAAGTGATAATTGTGTTTTAATTATGTTTCCTTGCGATCGAAAAATCAATGCAGTCAAGAAATCAACTGACTGATTGAGTTTGGTTTTATGCCGCTTTTAGCAATATTCCAGCAACATCACTGCGGGGGACACCAGAAATGGGCTTCACACATTGTGCCCATGTGGGGATTCGAACCCGGCTCTTCGGCGTGCCAAGCCAACGCTTTAACCATTAGGCAACCCCACCGCCCCCCAAAAAATCAAACCGGAGCCTCGGTGTGATGGGAAGCTTCAGAAAATGATGAAATCTAGACTTGTTTCATTTAGGGCTTTAGCATTGCAGGGTGGGCCAGGCAGTAGGGGGAGTAGCGTGGTTCAGGGACTGTGAGACAGACAACGCGTTTTTTACATGGCTGACGTTTCTTATCGAACACCAAGGACAACCATAATGGCTACCTGTGAAAGTCAACATGATTTCATTAACTTAGTCTGTCGTTATTATGTTTTCAAAATTCAAGATTTACTGTCTTCTTCAGAATCACCAAGAGGTGATTGTGTGTCAGCATAAATCCATCATATGAAACTGTATAAGGATGGATAAAAAGTCACAACCAGAATAAATAAATTGAATTGTTTTTGGAAAGAATATGGAAAAAATCCTACACATAAACCCGTGGATTGAGTGAGTGAGTTGATATTTACGCCGCTTTTTAGCAATGTTCAAGCAATATCATGGCTTGGCCGATCACTAGAAATCGGCTTCAAAATAAAATTCTGGAATTCAAGATCTACTGAACCACATAAGAAATGTCGCACCGATAGAGTTTTCTTAAAGCACACATTTTAATTCACACTAATTAACAATCAAAACGGAGGACTGGGTTCAAATTTGACAATTATGGTTGAAACATTTTCGGGAATCACATTTAGAGTTCACAAAAACAAAATCACCAAAAATGGTACCGTTAAGATACCCTAAAGTTAGTATCGCGTGTGGCCTCGGTGAAAGAGTTGCATCGTCTGTACATGGAATGAATTAGCCGATTGATGAAGGCCGTAGCCCCTGGGGTCCATACTCTGCGAAATGCCTGATCGAGTCCAGCTGCAGTTGTCATTCAGTCTTCTTTGAAAGGTGTTCTATTGGACTTAAATCGGGAATGAGTGCAGGCTATTGTAGGGTTTGGATGCCATGTTGTCTTAGGAAGTCCAATGTTGCTCTGGCAGTGTGGGCATCACGCTGTCTTGCTAGAAGATTTGATTTCTGTAACGTCCAAAATGTGGTACAACGTGGGGTCTTATGACTTAGTCAATATAGCGAGCTGTCATTTCCTCATCCTGGACCACCCCACGAGTCTCTTTCAAGAATACACTCGTTGGAAAACAGTTCACCACGCCTTCGCCATACTCTCACTCTGCCATCGACTGTCCAAACACTATATCGGCTTTCATCAGATAAAAGCACTGTTCTCCATTGCCCATAACACCAATTTCGATGCTGAGTTGCCCAATGTAGCCGGTTTTAGCGATGATGAGCGGTGAGGACAGGATTACAATAGGGTCGGTGACAGCCTAGGTTTTTTTCCGCGCAAACGTCGAAGCACTGTATCAGCACCGATAGGTCTGTAGTTAGTCCCAATAGTATGGAGTGCTGTTTCCGTCGCTTTGGGGAAGCGATCCCGCAGATGGTGGCGCACAAACTGTCGGTCTTGACGTTGCAATGTTACTGAATGTCGTCCACTGCGTGGACGATCTTGGGTGCTGTTAGTGGCCTGATACCACTCCTGCAGTCGGTAGATTGTCCTAACATGAACATTTAAATGATTGGCTACCCTCCGTGCAGTCTGGACAACTTGCAATCGTCCCAAGACTTGGTTCCTCTGATCTCTCGTAAGTCAGGCATAATGATTGTGTAACAAAATCACCTGAAAATGATTTCAGGAGAGATTGAGACTCAGTTTCATTGGTACGGTTGTCACGACATGCACGTGCATTTTCATTTTCACGAATGTCATACAGAATCTTTTACCATGTCTGCCTTTTTCGGTCGATATGCTTTTTCATCAGAAAACACACTGATGCGGGTAATAGCTATCAATTTGAATTGAAAAACATTTTAACAAAACGGTAAACTCATATTAAAAAACACCACCTTGCAAGAACAAATTTGGTTTTATAAAGCGACGTTTCTTTTGTGGTTCAGTATACATGTACATATCGTTTGTGTTTCATAAAAAACTCAGGTGGTTTAAACGTGTGACTGGTGGTCACATACATCTCACGCTATCACCCTCAGATTTCTCTAGCTAGGGCTGGATTTAATGTCGTCATTGCGACTTCCGATTACAATGCAATTGATGATTTTCTTGAATTACGTACGAAAATATTTATTGATATTTCTACTGTCAACCTCGGGCGGTGTTTTTATATTTCATAATATTCTGGGCACATCACGGCATCGGGCGTCAAAAAATGGGCTTCAGATTATATACTCTTACGGGAAGCCAAAATTCAATCTTGGGCTTTACATTGTAATCCCAAAGTAGTTATCTGTACTAATAGTGTCAACTGAAATACAATGTGAGTGTACCATCAAGAGATACTGAACAGCAAAATAAACGCAACTCTGTTTTTTTACAAGTTTTTAAATAAAAGACATAAACATGAACGCTTACATTTATGAGATTTCATTTTTTTCAGAAATTGCGTTTCCTTTGCCGTGCAGTATACATTGACAGAAACGATTGTCATAATTATACATATATACCCATTCAGTAACAACTAATAATTTGCTTATCAACTCTGAAGAATTACACCAATACGTAGTGATGAAACTTACTTTGAGTCAGGACGGGAGCCACGCAATATGACAGGCATATGAGAAACTTCATGACTGAATGCGGGACTGTGCATCTTGTGAAGTAGAAGTAGTTTCAGCGATACTTAAGCCATTGAGTATTCTGACGTTTCTAATAAACGCATACAACCTCGTGGCATGGTTTGTCATTTGGGAGAGGTTCTTTCATGTCGAAAGAGAAAAATGCTTACGATATCAAACTGATCTTTGAAAACAAAGTCTCTTCTGTCTGTTCAGCTTTCTTCCACTGCATCAAGACGATACTTAACTGCATCAAGGGAATACTGCATCAAGAGAAAACATAATTGTGTTTACAAAAAATATTATACACCACTCAAAGAAAATCGATTCCGAACTAGATCAACTGAAAGAAGAGAAAGTATTTATTGGGTTGAACTCTGCTTAAACGTATGGTCCTCATGGCAACCAATGACAAACCATCAAAAACTGATGTGCAAAAACGAATGTCAAAACAAAAAAAGACAAACTGAAGGTAAAGATAAAGATCTTGACAGAATGGATAGGAAACTGGCACAGGAAAAATGGTTGCATCAATCAAACAAATACACTGTCTCCACTTTGACGTAAAACATTTTGCACCAGATAAATGCAGCAAATTCCACTGGTGAGAAAAGAACCATTTAGGAGATAAACGTACTGTGTTGGCAAATTAGATTAATGTTAGGCAGAATTGATAGTCTCTAAATTCATTTGGAACCGAACGCGTAGCGTGAGGTTTCAAATGATTAATTTAAATACTATCAATTCTGCCTAACATTCATCTAATTTTCCAACACAATACGTTAATGTCCATTCTACCATAACCGATTTAAAATCGAACTCCTTCCTTCCGCGGAAGACACTGTGAAATCCGGCATGGTGCGAGAGGCGAATTGAACTCGTCTGTGAAGGGAGTGGAAGGTGCCGTTGGTATTGTTTTAAACATTGCAACATATATAATATTCTGTCCAAAGAAAACTAACTACTGCTTATTCAATGCAATAATGTAATAACTTAGAGCTTGGTTTAAATAATCCCAACTCCACACGACCGAAACCAGCCTATTGTTTTGCGTACCGTGTTACTCTAACCCCCCTGGCCACACTATAATGGAATCGTCTGACCTACTTATTTTTCTTGATAGTGCAGTCTGTAGTTGTTTACAGTCACGCAACAGTTTGAAATGGCGGACAGCCAGTGTTTACATTTGAGTGACAGTGGAAAATACTTGACTGACTGTCGAATCTGAACCCTGCAGAATTGCAGAATAGATCCTTTTCTGATCGACCTACGACCTGTAACTATTCAAAGATTTGTATGACCAGCGAGTGTCGATCATGATTTCACTTACATAGGCTGTAGGTGCCTTCACCCCGGCATGCGACGAAAAAGAGTGACAGTGCTGCTTTGTGTACATGCGACTCCTTGGAACATTGTTTTCATCATGTGGGACTGGATTGTGGCCAAACGTTTTTCAAAGTGTACGAACATAGATCACCAGCAGTGACAGCCTTGTGGGGAAGCTGGCAGAGAGCGGAATTCTGGTGGTTCAAGTTTTTACATGTATTTTTTTAACGATGCAACGGGGCATGATGGAGTGTGAGTGGCATTAATTTTGTGTTTCGCCTGACCGTTATCTTGCGAATTTCCCATTCTTATGATTCTAAATGGAAACAAATACATCATTTACCAGGTAGGTAAATGTTTAGTAAGGATTTGCTGCACATTTAGTATAGAAAGGGATCACATTTACAAGGCTTTCTGATTTACATGTTAGATACTGTTTGTTTATGTTGGGGGCTGTGTATTGTAATATAGTTTGAATATTTTTATTAAAGAAGGTTATATAATAGTGAGGTTCCCTAATAATTGTGGAGAAAAATCATATAATAATTGTATTTTCGAGTTTAATAAATGTTTTATTAGCATTTCCATCACGTCTGTTGTGTTGATATTAGCCATGTTGGTGGTCAAGCTGATGCGGCAGTGTTGTATACGTGCGCAGCGAAGCGGTCATGAAATCAGACGAATTTTCAATCCAGAATAGATAGCCTCTAATTTTATTGATTGACCAATCAAAATCGAGCATTTCACGTAGCCATGGTAGAATATGGTTTTAAGTGAACGGTTTTGTACGCGGTTGTGGTCAAATCGTCGTCAGATCATCTATTCTTCTCGGTGCCCCTGGTTTTGTACTTCGAGATCTCTTGGCACATATGAGGTGAGTGCCCCGGTCCTCCGACGGCACCACATCCCTTCTGACAATCTGGGTAGTACAAATGGCTGAAGTGTTGGGGAGTCTCCATTTTCTCTGGAAGGTTCTTGGTGGTTTCGAATAGGCATCGCTTCCTGGGAGGCGTCCCATTTGTTGTCTGAACTGCGTGTAGAGGGACCAAGGGTACCGGGCTGGTAAGGAGCGTTACAAGCCTGGCTACCATGATCACTCTCGCTGCTGCATATTTGTCTTAATCTGTACATGAAAATAATAATAATAATAACAATTTTACAGACAATTTGATGCAACAGGACTCACCTTATATTCTAAAGTAAGGTTTATGGAACAGTTGTGGTGTATACCCAGAACTGCAACATAGATGATTCATGGGTAGAGGAGAATAATGATGGTTTTGAGATTCAGTGAGTATATTCTCTGAGAAATGCTACAGAAATTTCATTCTTGGTACTCTCTGTTGATGATTGTTAGCTGATCTTATTGGTGCATTAGATAAGATCAGACAATGGCTTTCCCACATCTGAAGGTGATGGTCAAGATTTTGTGTATTAATTCTTGTTTCGATGAGTAGGCATTGTACAGGCTTCATGACTGATGTAAAGGATGCTGTCTTGCCACATCTTGTAACAACACATGCTTTGTTTGAGTCCCATCACTATAACCCAGCTTTGATAACATGATCTGGGAGATTTGTAGTGATGTGTGTGTAGGGATCCGATGTATCGTAATCCAGTGATTTCATGTCAGCCAAGCATTCAAGTCAAACCTTTTAATGCGGATATTCTACTTTAATATGTCAGCGTACACTCAACCACGAAAGAAACGCAAGTTCCACAAAACATTTGGACAGGTTAATTTTCAAGTTTGTTTTACTGTCCTTCGTCGACAGGTTTTTATAATATACATATATTCCACTTCAATGTCAAGTATGTTCTCGTCACGATATGGCTGAAAAATTGCCGATGTGACGTTAAATAAATTACTCACTCACTCACTCACTCACTAATTTGCAAGTGCTTGTGAACACAGTATTTAATTGCGAGAATAGCAGGATTTTAGACAGAATGATCATGTACACATGTGTGCTTGATAGGATGAACAAGACGAGCAGTGCTTGATAGCATGAACAACATAACGAGCAGTACTTGATAGCATGAGCAACAAGACGAGCACTGCTTAATAGAATTATCAACAAGACGAGCAGTGCTTGATAGCATGAACAACATAACGAGCAGTACTTGATAGCATGAGCCATAAGACGAGCAGTACTTGATATCATGAGCAACAAGACGAGCACTGCTTAATAGAATTATCAACAAGACAAGCACTGCTTAATAGAATTATCAACAAGACGAGCAGTGCATGACAGCATGAGCAACATGACGAGCACTGCTTAATAGAATTATCAACAAGACGAGCAGTACTTGATAGCATGAGCAACAAGACGAGCAGTACTTGATAGCATGAGCAACAAGACGAGCACTGCTTAATAGTATTATCGACAAGACGAGCAGTGCCTGATAGCATGAGCAACATGACGAGCACTGCTTAATAGAATTATCAACAAGACGAGCAATGCATGATAGCATGAGCAACATGACGACCAGTACTTGATAGCATGAGCAACAAGACGAGCATTGCTTAATAATATTATAAACAAGACGAGCAGTGCATGATAGCATGAGCAACATGACGAGCACTGCTTAATAGAATTATCAACAAGACGAGCAATGCATGATAGCATGAGCAACATGACGAGCAGTACTTAATAGTATGAGCAACATGACGAGCACGGAAACTTGCCGTGTGCGTGGTCGACCTAACATTAGCCGCATTTAAAAACTCAGAAACGAATTAATTGCAATATAAACAGGAATTTAATCAATTAAAACGTAAATATAATACATACCAATCCATATTTACAGATGACCCAAGGATTGTGGCTCGCCCGAAACAATCAAACAATTGCACGATCATGATATAAAAATAAATGGCCATATGGATGAAGGTCGGGGGTTAACAATCCTAAGTGTTGAGATACCTTTTCGATGTGTATTTCTAGCGAGAACCAAGTTGTTGTGTATCCATAATGAAAGACAATTTATTCCCCACCTACCATGAAGCGTCAACAATGGCGATGGTGTAGTGGAAACTGACTAAACCACACAATGCTAATCACGATTACAAACATTCTACAGAGCAAATGCCAGGCCTGGTCCATCCGCGGCAGTTTTCTGAAGACAATTAAGAGCCAGGGGTCAGGGATGCCAGACGGGCCCATATGCTGCCATCAACTATTTATTTGTTGTAACGTGTGAGCATATACTGGTATGTATATTCCAAGTATAGAGTTTACCGTGCACACGGCATGGCATGAACAACCGATTTAGAGAACCAAAACCAGGTAAAGTTAATGTCAAAGTATTATACTAAAGGAAAAGACTCCAGGACCCTCTTTTCAGACCCCTTCCTCTACCGACACAGAGGTCAAGGCAAACAGCTTGCCCAATTCGGTCACCTCATACCACCAGAAACGGGAATATAGGGTCACATGTACCCCAGTTCCCCCTAGGGAAGTTCACACTGACTAGTGAGTGAATGATTGTTTTGTGCGCTCTCAGCAATATTTCAGCTATATGGCGGCAGTCTGTAAAAAATCGACTGCGGACCAGACAACCCAGTGATCAACAGAATGTGTCAGCGGCCCTGACCACCCGAGCCTGTTAGTCGCCTCTTACGAGTATGGTTACTGGGTTACAGAAGATCAATTCTAACCCGGATCTTCACGGTCTCACACTGACTAGGTTATGAATCAATATAATG